ACATTTTAACATTATTTGATTTGTCCTTGTTGTCAGTTTTGGGAACACTTTTACACGTTGTTTAGTCCTCGGGACCAAAGAGCCTTACTGATTTTTACTGTAGTCATCGTGTCGTGAGCTCATTTACACATGATAACAGCAATAAACCACCCCGGTGGATACAAGAGCCCCTGAAACCCGATTACAGGACCACTGCCCTACATTCATCCATCCATTCATGCATATCCCCAGAGGTTCAGGTGTCTTTAATTACAACAAATGTTATTTCACTAATAAACATACCGGATGTACAGTGTGGGTGAAATGACCATCTGCAGATGCACCACATTCTTGATTAAAACACATTCATATACCCCTTACACACACTCACAGACACTGTAACTGACTGCACACTGTAATTACTTAATTACATTAATGATGGCTGCATTCAATTTAGATGTTCCACTTCCAACAATAATGATTCATGTGCCTTGGATGCTACTGTCGATAGGCTTACTAACCCTCCTGTGTCTCTAGCACCTGAACCTCTATCCACCAGGGCCTGCAATGAATTTGCCTCCTTCATGGACACTTAAAATCAATTCAAATAGCATGACACAATTTGATCCTATCAACCATAAAAACCTGGAGGACATTATACAACATCAATATAGACACGTTACTAATGAGCAATTATTGGCCCATTTCACTGAAAAAGCTGTTTTTTAAAAGCTTAGTGCTTTCTTGGCACTAAGTAACTGTTTTGATGTCTTCCAGTAAGGATTTCGAATACAGCACTGACATGGCTCTTGTTAAGGTCTTCAATGACATCCATTTAAAATTTCAGTCTTAGTATTACTGGATCTCAGTGCTACTTTCAACACAGTCGACCACAACATTACTAGACAGACTGGAGAACTGGGTGGGACTTTCTGGCACGGTACTAAACTGTTTTGAATCCTACTTAAAGGACAGGGACAACTTTGTGTCTATAGGTAATTACACATCTGAGCTAACAAAAATGACTTGTGGAGTTCCTCAAGACTCCATTCTGGGGCCTCTTCTGTTAAACATCTAGATGCTGGCTCAGATTATGAAAAACAACAATATATGTTACCATAATTATGCAGATGACACACAGATTTACATAACCATATCAACATTGGACAAGTGCTGAGTAACTCTATTGAACCAATCAACAATTGGATATGTCAGAATTTTCTTCAATTAAACAAAGAGCCAAGGAAGAACAATTAAAAGTCAGTGCTCAGCTTCAATCAGTTAAGATAAAAAAACACAAACTAAGTCAGAAATCTTGGTGTAGTCGTTGGACTCAGACCTGAATTTTAGCAGCCACATTAAGACAAATACAAAGTCAGTCTACTATCACCTGAAGAATATAACAAGGATTAAAGAACTTATGTCTCAGCAGGACCCGGAAAAACTTGACAATGCCTTTATCTTCAGTTGACTCGACTACCGTAACGGTGTCTTTACAGGTCTAAAAATTCAATCAGACAGCTGTAGCTGATTCAGAACGCAGCTACTCGAGTCCTCACAAGACCAAAAAAGTGGACCACATCACTCCAGTTCTGAGGTCTTTACACTGGCTTCCTGTCTGTCAGAGAACTGATTTCAAAATACTGCTGTTGGTTTATAAAGCAGTGAATGCTTCAGGACCAAAATACATTTCTGATCTTCTGCTTCGTTATGAATCACCCAGACCTCTCAGGTCGTCTGGGACTGGTCTGCTTTCTGTCCCCAGAGTCAAAACTCAACATGGAGAAGCAGCTCCAAAAACTCAGATCTTTTAAATCAAGATGGAAGCTTTTTTTTTTTTATCCCTGCTTTTAATTAAATCAAATTTAAGGATGTAGAGTGATAACTTAGACTGCACTGTTTTATATTCTATTGAACTCTTTTAAAAATTGTTTTATCTTGTTTTTATTTTCTATTTAACTCTTATTTCAATGTATTTTTTTATATTTCCCTATGTTGCTTTTATGTTTCAATGTAAAGCACTTTGAATTGTCTTGTTGTTGAAATGTGCTATACAAATAAACTTCCAGGAGTCTGGTATTGTGCAAGTTGGCTCACTTTACATTTATTCATTTAGCTGACACTTTTGTCCAAAGCGACTTACAATTGCTATATATGTCAGAGGTTGCACTCCTCTGGTCCAATGTGTCTTCAGGGACACATTGGTGTCACTGTGGATTCAAACCCGGCTCTCACACCAAAGGCATATGTCTTATCCACTACCCCACCACCACCATGGCTTACTAGGATACTTTTAGGAGAAAAGCTATCATTAGCAAAAGGAGTTACACCTGTGCATTTCCTGTTCATAGTTTTAGTATGTAATGTATGAGAAAAGTGTCAAATTAAATTACACTCAGGGTAGACTGAATGCAGACTAAATACGTATTATAATGAGGAGCTGCTCACAACTGAAAAAAAAAAGAATAAATATACAATAATGATAATTTAAATTCTATTTGAGTTTGTCGTGAATCAATGTCAAAATGTTTGCTATGAAAAAGGCCTGTGGTGTGAGCAAATCTAATGGTTTTCATCCATTTTAACAACATGTCGGTTTTGTGCATTGTGTTGTAGACGGTTGTGTTCCTACAGTAACTTCATGCTGCCTGTGCTCAGGAGTTCAAATAAAACAACATTTATCCAATTTCGTGGTTTTGGTAAATTGTCTGGCACGGTGTTAATATGCTTCATGTTTTTCCAAATAACACAAAATACAAGCTTTCAGGTAGTACCCTTCATACTACTAAACTAACACTGGGCTCCAGTCCAGTAAAGACTGAACCTCTGTTTAATAATTTTACATCTGTGATATTATTCTGAACTACCTGAAACTCTGCTATCAGTGCTCAGCAGGGAGAAACACGACACTTAGTTATGATATTTTATTTACTTTTATTACCCCAAGATAATCAGCAACTATAACAAGTGTTTACTTAACGACTGTTTTAATGATCAAAGACGCTCTCACACATAAACACAGACACAGATAGTGTCCTCAGGCGTAGTACTGAAGGTTCGCCTTCTTCTTGGCTTGGACCTCCAGGATTCCCTCCATGTAGTCTTCATGGTTCAGCTCTGTGGCCCCGCGGCGCAGCGCGATCATACCGGCCTCCACACACACAGCTTTGCACTGGGCTCCGTTGAAGTCGTCGGTGCAGCGAGCCAGCTCCTCGTAGTTGACATCAGGACTGACGTTCATCTTGCGGGAGTGAATCTGCATGATGCGAGCTCTGGCCTCTTCGTTTGGCATGGGGAACTCAATCTTTCTGTCCAGACGACCTGAACGGAGCAGCGCAGGGTCCAAGATGTCCACTCTGTTGGTGGCAGCAATCACCTAAACAATAAAAATGTTTGCAGTTAAACTATAGTTGGTTTAACATGGTTGTTTTAGGTTTGAATGTCTATCCGTTAAGACTTTTTCCACATGTAGTTTGTGAAAACACTTATTTTGCTTTGTTTCTTTATTTCATATCTAAACAGTCCACCGATGTGTCCCTGAGCAAGACACTTAATCCCTAGTTGCTCCAGAGGAGTGCGACCTCTGACATAAAATAGCAATTGTAAATCGCTTTGGATAAAAGCGTCAGCTAACTTAATAAATGTAAATTCTTGCACCTTGACAGATGTTTTTAAATAAATCTTACTTGTTGTCCAGAACCTGAACATTAGTATTGAGTTCTTTATAAATTTGAATGTCTAGTATTTTCGGTTGTAGATATACCTTCACATATCTTATATATTGCATTACAGTAAAGTGAGACCATTTTCTGAACTCATCTGTACAACTTTAGAATTTCTACACAATTGTTTTGTCTGAAATCGACACTACAGAGCAAACAGATCGATTTCTCTCAGAATGATAATGTGAGGGGAATATTTGAAATACTGGTGAGTTCTTGTTTGATTGGAGCCTGATGTGATGAAGTTCAGCTGGAGATGATGGTTAAACATACTGAACATAAAGAGTTTATTTGGCGGCAGCGTCCTTACCTTAACCTGCATGTTGGGCTGAAACCCATCAAGCTGGTTGAGCAGCTCCAGCATGGTCCTCTGCACCTCTCTGTCTCCTGCCTTCTCGCTGTCGAACCTCTTGGTCCCGATGGCGTCCAGCTCATCGATGAAGATGATGGATGGGGCTTTCTCTTTGGCCAGGGCGAAGGCATCTCTCACCAGCTTGGCTCCATCTCCAATGAACATCTGGACCAGCTGGGGACCAGCCAGCTTCAGGAAGGTGGCTTTGGTCTGTGCGGCACAGGCCCTGGCCAGAAGGGTCTTGCCAGTGCCAGGCGGTCCATACATCAGGACCCCTTTAGGTGGCTGGATTCCCAGGTTCTCAAACTTCTCCTTGTGGTTCATGGGCAGGACGATGGCCTCCACCAGCTCCTGGATCTGCTTGTCCAGGCCGCCTATGTCGCTGTACTGCTCTGTGGGGCGCTCATCCACCTCCATGGCCTTGACTCTGGAGTCATACTCGGTGGGTAAGGTCTCCAGGATCAGGTAAGAGTCCTTGTTGACACCCACCAGGTCTCCGGGCTTCAGCTTCTCGGCGTCCACCAGCCCGATCACGGGCAGGAAGTAGGTCTGTCGAGTGGAAGTCTTAATGACGGCGCACTTTCCTTTTCTCTGAGAGTCCAGGTCCACATTAGCCCCGTCCTCCTCCTGGTCGTTGGGGTCCACATCCAGCAGCTCGATCACGTTGGACACAAGGTATGGCAGCGTTTTGTTCACCTTAATCTTCTCCGTGTTTTCTTTGATTTTATCCTTCATGGCCTGCAGCTCGTGGGTCACCCTCAGCACCTCGCTCTTCATTATCTTTATCTCGCTGTCCAGGAGACGAGTTCGCTGGACTATCTCGTCTGTGGACATTTTTAACACTTCTTCACCGATTCCATCCTCCACTTCGTCCCAAACTGACTTGTCACTCAGCGACGCCATCTTTGCTCTGTTTGTCTGAACTGTGACACAGCGGAAAATAAAGCTTCCACTTCCGGGAGCAGCCGACAAGGCTCGCTAGCGCCGAAGAAGAAACGAACCTGAAGCTGAATTAATTTTCTTCGTGTGCTGATTTGAACTACGAGTGTGGGTGTAAATTTGCGGGTAATGTACTGTAACGCAGTGGCAAATGTCCAAGGTATTTTCACCTTTTTGAGTAGCAAAGTCGCCGCTTTCATTGTGGCCACAACGCGTTAGTTAGCGTTTGTGCTGCTAATACTAATGTTAGCTCTGTGGCTAACTTCAGCTAGCCAGTGTGTTGATATGTTTCTTCCTGCTGGAAAACTAACGTTAATTGGGTTACAGATAACGTTGTCACGCGTTGTTTTGCCTACTAGATTTTTTTAAAGGACACATAATACACTGGGGCCAAAGTGAATGAACGAGCTAAAGTAAAGTTAATTAACGGTGAAGCTAAATGCGGTGATTAGCAAGTAGTGGATGGTTTGGCGCCACCGCTGCACGAATTCTGCTTTATGTCATTTGCAAGTTCTTCACGCGACTGTACGGTGATGCATATAAGTGTTTGTCTGAGTAAACCTTGGTTCTGTCCATCTTTTCAGGCAGGACATAGCTGTCACAGAGAAGACACAACAAGAGGGTGTTCCTGCAGAGTCCTGTCCACTGGTTGCTGGCGTTTTTATTTTATTTTTACTGTAATACAGACACTTTGAGGCATCTGCTGTGTAAACTTACCAAGCCTGTGTTGCTTCCTGCTCTTGCGTGGCAGTGAATTAACGTGAGGAGCTAAAGAGATGGACCAAAACAACAGTATACCAGGCTTCCAGGGACTGGCCTCCCCTCCGGTAACACTGGTTTCAAGCATTTTATGGCATTTTTAAATGAATTTCTCACCAGCACACGCTCCCAGCTTGTTGTCAATATAGTCGGATGGATTTACCATGTTGAACTCCTTGCTCTTTCTCTTGAACCTACAAAATAAACCAATAGACCATTATTATTAAGATTTTATTTGTATTTATATAAAGTTATCAAAGGCAAAGTGAAAAAAGTTGTGACAGTGGTGAATTTTTGCATTATCATTTGGTCCTCATGTTGCTCTTCTGCTCAATCCTCACTTCTGCTGTTTGGCTCTGTGCCCTTGTGCAGGGTGCGATGACCCCAGGCATGCCCATGTTCAGTCCTATGATGCCATATGGCTCGGGCCTGACACCCCAGCCTGTCCAGAACACCAACAGTTTGTCTATACTGGAGGAACAGCAGAGGCAACAACAGCAGCAACAGCAACAACAGGCACAGCAAGCAAATACAGGTACAACAAACACTACTTTCGTATCCCTCTCCATCCATTCCCACTCTTAAGAGGTGAGATCATAATCTCAAACCACAAAAATTGGTGTATTCTTCATTTATTCTGGGAAAATAATCTTGCATGTCTGAACCATAGTGGTTCATTGGTTAATTTTATAGCTTGGGGAAAACAAACTTTATTTGTTCTCCAGGCCTTCCTGGAACGTCAGGGCAGACCCCTCAGCTTTACCATTCCCAGGCGGTAGCGGGCTCGACCACCACAGCACTGCCAGGGAATACCCCGCTCTACAACACCCCGCTGACCCCCATGACCCCTATCACACCCTCCACACCAGCCTCAGAGAGCTCTGGGATAGTACCACAGCTACAGTATGTTTCAAAAGTATCAGTGTATGCCACTTGTATTTGTCAGTCTTTGTAATCGTCTGGCTAATATACACTCTGTCCCTTTCATGTTATGTTCCTTTAGCTAGTGGTAAATGTTGAAGTTGGCTTACTACGAGATATTCCTGTAGGGAAATACATGCAAGGACCAAAATTGTGCTGAATGTGAATTAAAATGTATTTAGACCATAAACATAAATATGGCTGGTGTCATTTCCACACAATTTAACATGATTTTGAACTACTGATGGAACAGTTTGCCATCTGTTACTCAGTTATTTTCTCGGTGCTTTTCTTATTTCCCTACTATTAGAAACATAGTATCTACTGTAAATCTGGGCTGTAAACTGGACTTGAAGACCATTGCCTTGAGAGCCAGGAATGCAGAGTACAACCCAAAGGTGAGACTGCCAGACATTACTGTGATTGGCTCTATGTTGCTCAACAGTTTAATTTTTTGTATCTGCTGTCAGTGGGGCTTCCGGTTTATTTTAACCTGGCATATTTCCCGTAAATGTAGCTAATGCTAATATGGCTCTATGAGTCATGCTAACTTTGCACTTGCCACCTTGTTTTTGTAGATGTTTTTCACAGGAAAAGCACAGGCGATACTAAATATAGAAGAAATACCAAAACGGGTGCAGTAAAATATACCCAATATACACTGCTCAAAAAAAAAGGGAACACTAAAATAACACATCCTAGATCTGAATTAATGAAATAATCTCATTAAATACTCCTTTCTTTACATAGTTGAATGTGCTGACAAAATCACACCAAAGTTATTAATGGAAATCAAATTTATCAACCCATGGAGGTCTGGATTTGGAGTCACACTCAAAATCAAAGTGGAAAACCACACTACAGGCCGATCCAACTTTGATGTAATGTCCTTAAAACAAGTCAAAATGAGGCTCAGTAGTGTGTGTGGCCTCCACGTGCCTGTATGACCTCCCTACGACGCCTGGGCATGCTCCTGATGGGGTGGCAGATGGTCTCCTGAGGGATCTCCTCCCAGACCTGGACTAAAGCATCCGCCAACTCCTGGACAGTCTGTGGTGGATGGAGCGAGACATGATGTCCCAGATGTGCTCAGTTGGCTTCAGGTCTGGGGAACGGGCGGGCCAGTCCATAGCATCGATGTCTTCTTCTTGCAGGAACTGCTGACACACTCCAGCCACATAAGGTCTAGCATTGTGTTGCATTAGGAGGAACCCAGGACCAACCGCACCAGCATATGTTCTCACAAGGGGTCTGAGGATCTCATCTCGGTACCTAATGGCAGTCAGGCTACCTCTGGTGAGCACATGGAGGGCTGTGCGGCCCCCCAAAGAAATGCCACTCCACACCATTACTGACCCACCGACAAACCGGTCATGCTGGAGGATGTTGCAGGCAGCAGAACGTTCTCCACGGCGTCTCCAGACTCTGTCACGTCTGTCACATGTGCTCAGTGTGAACCTGCTTTCATCTGTGAAGAGCACAGGGCACCAGTGGTGAATCTTGGTGTTCTCTGGCAAATGCCAAATGTCCTGCACGGTGTTGGGCTGTAAGCACAACCCCCACCTGTGGACGTCAGGCCTTCATACCACCCTCATGGAGTCTGTTTCTGACCGTTTAAGCAGACACATGCACATTTGTGGCCTGCTGGAGGTCATTTTGCAGGGCTCTGGCAGTGCTCCTCCTGCTCCTCCTTGCTCAAAGGTGGAGGTAGCGGTCCTGCTGCTGGGTTGTTGCCCTCCTACGGCCTCCTCCACGTCTCCTGATGTACTGGCCTGTCTCCTGGTAGCGCCTCCACGCTCTGGACACTACGCTGACAGACACAGCAAACTTTCTTGCCACAGCTCGCATTGATGTGCCATCCTGGATGAGCTGCACTACCTGAGCCACTTGTGTGGGTTGTAGACTCCGTCTCATGCTACCGCTAGAGTGAAAGCACTAACAGCATTCAAAAGTGACTAAAACATCAGCCAGGAAGCACAGGAACTGAGAAGTGGTCTCTGGTCACCACCTGCAGAACCACTCCTTTATTGGGGGTGTCTTGCTAATTGCCTATAATTTCCACCTGTTGTCTATTCAATTTGCACAACAGCATGTGAAATTGATTGTCAATCAGTGTTGCTTCCTAAGTGGACAGTTTGATTTCACAAGAGTGTGATTGACTTGGAGTTACATTGTGTTGTTTAAGTGTTCCCTTCATTTTTTTGAGCAGTGTATTAATGCTAAAGAGCCTGCGTTTTTAGGAAGAGTTCCTAATATTCGCCCACTCTTTTTCTGGTAGCGTTTTGCTGCAGTCATCATGAGAATACGAGAACCCAGGACCACTGCTCTCATCTTCAGCTCCGGGAAGATGGTTTGCACTGGAGCCAAAAGGTCAGAAAGTAGCTCATTTGCTGACCTTTCTTGTGCCATGGTTTGTAATAAAATGCCAGATTCTTCTTGCCAACACAGTCCTCCTGAGGAAACAGATGCTAGCTTTGCAATGACTTCGAATAGAATTTTCTCTACCTTCTTGTCTTTCATCTTCTTTCCTCTCCTTAAGACTTGTCCAATTATCTGCTTCTTTTCTTATAATCTGCCTCTCACTAGTGAGGAGCAGTCGAGGTTAGCTGCCAGAAAATACGCTCGTGTGGTGCAGAAGCTCGGTTTTCCTGCAAAGTTCCTGGACTTCAAGATTCAGAACATGGTGGGAAGCTGCGACGTGAAGTTCCCCATTCGGCTGGAGGGATTAGTCCTCACACATCAACAGTTCAGCAGGTAATTTCTGTTTGTTTTGTGTTCTAATCACCAGTATGTGACGGCTGCATTGTGAGAATTTCATGTTTGTGTCCATGAGTTGTGCCGCAGAAGGAAAGGATAGATGTGATTTATTTAAGCTATTATTATTATTACATAAATAGTTCCTCTTTTGCCAGAGTTGTAATCAGACTGGGGCCTCTGTAGAAAAGTCTCCCATACAAACCCTCTTCTGAAAGTATTTATATGTGGAATTGTTTGAAATTGAAATAACATTTAGCGTATGGTCTGGACAGTTTGTGGAGAGCTAAGAGGAGTTTTCTTAACTTGAAGTTGATTCATTTTAATGATTAAAATAAAGTGACTTGTTTGTTTCAGCTATGAACCGGAGCTGTTTCCAGGACTGATTTACAGAATGATCAAACCCAGAATTGTCTTGCTCATCTTTGTCTCTGGGAAAGTTGTACTCACAGGTAAATCCTGCTCTTCTCTGCTAATGGCTTCACTTCATGCAATATTAGTTGTGATCAGAAGTAGGGCTGGGCCATATGGCCCAAAATGTTATCATGATAAAAACATTTCATATCATTCGATATCGATAATTATCACGATATATCTCAAATCATTATTTCTTTCAAGTTTAAAGGCAGATTTTTGCTCCTGAGTGAAAATTGGAAGAAACCAGATGGTTAATTATGTGGTTAAACTTATCTCTATGGTCAGAATGTGACAAACACTTCATGCCAAACAATCACTTCACAAGTCTGAGGTAGAACATTCAAAACTATTATCTTTTTCAACAAATATGACTAGCTGATCTTTTTTTCAGGACTTTTTTTTTTTTTTTTTTCTCCACAACAAAATAAATATTTTAATAGAAAAATTAAGTGCTAATTTGTTCATGTCAAAGCTGGACTGATGCAGGATTTCTGTGGCGGATTTTAGTATTTTATTTTATTTAAAGGATTCTTCAAATTTGTTACTTAAAAATAAAATAAATGAGACAGACTATTTCTAAATTCTGAACTTTGTGTTCAAAAACAATAAATTCTGTAACAGTTTTGATCTTCAAAAACTACAGTAGACCTTTTTAGAGATAATCCAGAACATGACATTAATGGGTGTAGTGATTATTTCTGTGCCAGTGTGAGTCATTGTTGTTAATAATCTGGTGTTGCTTGTTTTTAAAAGGTGCCAAGGTGAGAGCAGAGATCTACGAAGCATTTGAAAACATCTACCCCATCCTGAAAGGCTTCCGCAAAACAACGTAGAACCTTTAGCTCCATCTTTTATCATCTCCCCAACCCTGTCTCTTTTTACTCAGATTTTTATATATGTTGATATACAAGTGGACTGCTGTAAGGGATGTGAGTCATCCTTTTTTAGTTTTTGACCCTGTGTGTGTGTATATACATATTTTTTTTCTTTGGCCATGTTCTGATCACAAGTGGTGGTATATTTTACACACAGACCTCCATTTCTATGGAACCTTTTCTCTGTTATTGCCCACTTATTTTCAGCTTGTTCTGTTGTCCTTATCACATCCCTGATTGTATATAAGACTGTAAAGAAATGTAAAAATCACTGATGAGAAGCAGTCTGGCAAGGACTGTATTTTGTTTTTTAAGCTGTTTTAAATAGTTTTGTACATTGCATTTGTATTCATTGTCTGCTCGGTCCCCAAGTTGTTCTAGATGTGTTTGGGTTAGTCAGCCCTGCATTCCATTGAACAGTATTTGCTAAGATTTTAGTTGGAGAGAGAAGTGAGTCTGCTTTTTGAGTTTTATCTTCCTACCCTTACATTCACATCACACATTCTGATACGAGACGTAGTATCGTCAAGTCTGTTGACTGAAGTTGGATGATTTTAAATTTTGAATTGACAGAAGTTAAACTAACTTGATCCAAGTTGGTTAGTTCTTCAAGGTTCGTGTCTCTTGATTTGGGTTCCTGATATATTTGTACTTATTAAAAATCAACCAGAACCAAAACGTTAAGAAAAGACATGCGTTGCCTAAAACTTATCTTCACGTCTTGCATCTTACATTCACTAGCACTAAGAGATGATGGCAGATAAACTATGCATCATGTTGCCATGTTTATGTATTGTTTAAAAGTTTTCTTATCTATTTTGTGGCCATTTTAAAACTATATTTAAAAGTTATCTTTTGAAGAATAATTATTGAGGCAAATGTGTGATTCTGAGCTCATCAGTGGCTGATCAGGAGACCAGGAATCCCCGTCACATTTAAATACAATTCTGCTTCTTCTGAAAATGTTAAGTGCTGCAGTGTGCATTAATAAATGTAAACATACAGACTCTCTTGTGAAAGCTGCTTCTTTCAATACTATAACATTTTGGTACTGTTTTATTTGGAAACTGTTTTTGTTTTATGAACACTGTGAGACGTTTGCTGTCCTGCAAAGTGTGTGCTTAATTTTTCAAAGTAAAACAATTCATCAATTCAATCCAATCATTTTGGTCACAATGCATGGTTGATCTGTAGAGTATAAGTAAAGCAGTCACACCACTGTGTGACTTAGGAGTGAGAACAAAGTCACACTGTACAGTATACAGATTTTAAAATGACTAAAGACTGTACAATAGTTTTTTTTGAGTGTGAAGATCCTCTTCATCTTATAAAGGTAATGCCTGCAGCGGGTCTGGTCAGATGTTTACTGTGTAAACGCAGCCTTCATTTAAAGTGTAACTAACTTCTGACAGAAGAATCAAAATGTTCTTCCTCCTATATTTGAAAAGTTGAATTCAAATAAAATGCACCCTGTCTCAATTCAATACACTATGGTTTTCTGCTGAGGCTTGCTTGGTAGCTGGTAGGTTGGCGAACTGTAGTGAGATTGCTGTTTAACATTATTCAGCCAGTTTGCTGACATTACCCTTTGATAATCTGTCTTTAAACTGCAGGTTTTGCTAGATTAGTGACAGCCTGAAAGTTTACATGGGCACAAGTAACCTTGAATTGAATTTATACCACTCAGTTAAAACTTTGAAATGATCTCAGTGGGAGATCTTGACATTTGACTTTGTCTTGTTATGCAAACCTAGTATTTTTACTTACACTACTTTTTACTACACTCTCCGTCTGCTGCTGAGAACACAGAACGAGATGCTTGTTCAGACAACTTTAAGAACTTTATTGTGTGATGATAAGGCAAAATGTGATTTGTTTTGCAGACAAACTGTATAAAGAGGATGTGGCACTGAAAATGGACATGACAGCATAGGTCAGAAAAATGACAAATTTTTTATTTATCTATCTATCTATCTATATATATATATCTCAATATCACACAGTCTGTCCAAAGAATAATACATGTACAACTGTTGCTCATAAAAAGAAATTCAGACAGTGAATATCCATCCATCCAAAAACATAATTCTACTTGATAGTCTCAGAGGGAGGATTTATGTATGATCGGTGTCCAGTCCACTAAATAGAGTGACATCACTAGAAGTGTGATTAAATCCAGCTTCTCCACTGCTGCGTCTTCATGTGCATCAGTGTCTCCTAAACTCTGTCCACACATGCATTATGTGGGATTAATCTGTGTGTGCTGATCTGAAGTCCTGCTTCCAGATGAACTCGGGGCAGTACCGGTCATCATTGTTACAGCTGGCAGAGCATGTGTAGACAGCCAGTGTCCCCCAGTCAATACTGGCTCCCGTCGAGTCCACACACAGACTGTTCAACAGCTGCGGCATCACCTAACGACACACACACACATGATTATTACATGTACTCCGTTCCAGCAGATATACACACTGTTAGCTATGTGGAGAGACACATATATAATACAGCACTCTGAGTTGTTCAAACAGTGAGGGACTTTTTCATTTATAATAAGTTACACCTACAGTATATACTATATGTTGGCACATTACCACTATTATTTATTAGGCCATCACGTAAATAAATCAGAAACAAAATGTTTTTCTTTTTGCCAACAATTAACTGTGAAAAGAAACCTCTGCTCATAGTTTCCCATACAAGACATACAGTGTTCCACAGAAAGATAGTAACTGCATTCATATGCACATTTTCAGTTCACTCCAAATACTTAAACACTTTAACCAACATGCATACACAACTTTATAGTTGAACAAATAAAGACATAAGTGAGTCTTAAAGAGGTCAGATTACTGAGCCCTGAACGGGCGGTGACTACCTGAAACTCAAAAATCCTCTTGGCGCCACAGGTGCATGGTGGGATATTCTGATCTGAAGGGATGTGCTGAGAAGAGACCCACAAGGGAGAGCCCCCTCGACTGTAACGCACCACCTGAACATAACAAAACACTGAGATGGACACACAGCGTGACTGCGTTCATTCAAGTGTTTGTACCAAATGAGGTGATTTATTTTATACCTGGTGTGGTTCCGGTTCAATCTTCTTTTTAAACCGCTGGAACACTTTGTTGTCTTCAGTCTCGTGCATTGCCATCTCCTCCAGGTCTGCCTCTGCCAGGGCTGAAAACAGTCAGGATGAATGCTTTAGAAAGACGCGCTAACTGAAGAATCATAGCGAAAGAAAAACAAATTTGACTAAAAATGTATTTATTATTCTTATTAAAGTTTTAACATCTAATACATGTGACCAGTTATCAAACATAAATGAAAGCTTACTATCTGCTAAGGAGGAAAAATCTACACTCCCTTCCTCTTCTTCTTCGTCTTCAGCCTTCTTTGTGTCCTCCTGCTTCTCCTCTTCCTCCTCCTCAGGCTCAGTGACCAGCTCCGACTCCGGGAAGAGGAAGGGAGAGGTTGTGACAATGGACGCTTCTATACGGACAGACAAAAGACACAGCAGAGACATTACATCTTCCTTGTGGCGCGATACTCTGCCACTCTAAACTCTGAAGACGTGTTCATTTTTAGTCCCATGAACAACACGCACCTTGGCTGCAGCACTCCCTCTTGTGTGCGTGCTTCCAGTGGAGGGTCTGGTGGTGTTTTCCACAGTAGCTCACAGCGTGACAGCGGGAGCAGGCCTTTTTACCGGGGCAACCGCACACCCAACATAGTTTCACTCCAGAGACAGACAACACACTCTGGACCGGGTCAGAGTCACTGGGGGGTTCATCCTCTGAGAAAGAGGAAAAAAGAAGAATCACTTTGATATTTCATGATCTGAGTCAAAATAATGCACTGTAAAATACCTATAACATGTACCTCTGTGTTTTTATGACTACACTGTCGTCAATAACTGCAAAATGAATTGACTTCTAGTGGTTCACAAATAGATAAAATGCATCATACCAAAGCCAAGCTACTGTTGAAATACATAAAAAAACTGACAAATGTAAATATATCAATTTAAAAATGTCCCCCGGCACATTATAAAAAATATTTTCCTACCATATTGTATAAATGCTTATATATTGGCTCTCTAAATGCATAGCAATATTCATAAATGTCTCAACGCAACTGTATTTATGAAGCTTTTTTTAGTATCAGGTGATGAAGAATTATGCTTTCCAGGCTAAAATACACAAACCTGGTGGAGGGTCGTAGGGGTAGAAATCATTCCTCCTGGGTAGCTGACTTCTGAAAACTGAAAAGGAAAACAAGAGTAAAATAGATTTCTCTTATAAAATGAAGCCCCAGACTTCAGATTTGAAGTATTTAGAAATGTGGAGAGGAGAGGATGTGGTGAAGGCTGAAGGCTAAAGACGGAAGATGTTAAGTGATCTATCCTGTAGCAACAAATGACAAATATTAAAGCAACATTAACGGTTACTGATACCTTTCATGCAGCGGCTGTCGTTGCACACGTAGCACTCGTGAGTTTTGCAGCAGAATAGGAAGAGCGTCCTGTGGAAACTTCTGTCCTGACCAGAAATTGGTGCGTACACCTGCAAAGAAGATGAAAAGAGTAACTACACAGAAGAGTTCAGAGTTATGACTCAGCTCAGCAGCTCAGAGGAGTCTGAAGAGGAGTTTAGCCAAACTGTCACACCAAAGTACCCTTTCTAGTTTTATAGTGTATAAGGCTGAGATGGGCATTTAGACGTTAATCAATTGGTTGACATAAAAGTGAGCAGAATTGTAGTTTCCAATTATTTTAAAAGGAAATTATACGCTCTTTACAGTCACCAGATCTGAACCCAGTTTCACACCTATGGAAGATTGTGGACCAGCATGTAAGACAATGCTCTCTGCCACCACCTCCATTAGACCAAATGGTAAAACATCAACTTTTATCTCCATTACTATTCAGTGATGTCTGTGTCTGTCTCTGATGCTGTATGTCCTTTATATGTCTGGCTGTTTGTTTGTTTTTCGTTCCTCATCTCTCTCTTGCAAAAAAGATTTTGGTCTCAATATAATTACCTGATTAAATAAAGGTTGCGTTTATATATATATATATTATAAATGTATTTATTTATATATAAATGAGGGAATGGTGTTCATCCCTCCAAAAGAGTTCAACAGACTTGGCAAGGAACCCTGAAGCTGTTCTGGGGGTTCGTTGTGGCCCGACTTCATACTAACACACTTCACCTTTTCCTTTGATTTGTCACCCATCTACGGTATATATGAAGCAGCTCCAGGGTTTCTCTGTGTGACATTATCACGGTCTATCACGCAGTAGCTCAGCTTGTTCCAGCCCACAAGTGAAAACTGAGCTCCCCATAAACACAGTGAATTATTATTATCTATGGTGGAAGGATCCCTAAGTGGATCCAGAGCCCAGTTGACCCCGAGGTGCCCCCCCCCCCCTTTTTTCACTAACCTGCAGCAGGAAAGCCATAGGCAGGTGGCATATCTCACACTCCAGCTCGGGCTGGGCGGGCAGGCCTCTCTGGCTGAGCCACGCCGGTTTACCTCCGACTTTACTGGGGAACTGCGGCGACAGGAGCCGCCACGGCTCCGCCTCCTCCAGGAAACCCAGAACTACCCCCGCCGAGGACATGCTTGTATCGCCGAACACAAGAGAGCAGAGGTTACCTGTCTGTCACACGGACAGCTTGTTTTAACTGTCCGAAGAAGCGAAGAGTCTTTTCAACATGTCACAACACAACACATGAAACCTCAGGTGTAGTTTCGAAAAGCCTCCGTGCGGAAACACTGAGGAGTCGTTTCGTTCTGCCTTCCTCCATGCGCATACTGTAGAAATATTAAATTAATAAATAAAACTTATCTAGATGTATATCATCCGTGGGGAAACATGATATTTATTAGCTTTCCTGAAACACTGATATCCATAAAATATTTTTGTGTTTTTTTAAAAAGGTTTTAATGAGGTTTTATTGCTAACTGGCACGTGTCTTTTTCACTCTGTCCACTAGATGGCGCAGATGTCCTGTCCTGTCAATCTGTTACTGTACTCAAGAACAACTTTGAGGTAAGTTTCTTTTTTAATATTTTGTAATTTGAAGATTTCCATTTTATTATACTTTATACTGCACTTCAGAATCATATATTTTACTCTCTGCTCCACTGCATTTATCTGACAGCTACATTTACAGTTTATGAAGTATAATGCATTGTTATCAGTGAATACACCCAGCATTGATATAAAAAAGCTAAATTAGTCCCACCACAACCAACTACAATAGTATGTTGCTGATGTGTCAGTGAATTTAATATACTATCATGTGATATAATATCAGATATATATTACATATTTTTTCATATTTCTATGGTAACATCCTATTTTTTTTATTTCTGCTTCTTGACTAGTTGCCTAGCCTACTTGCTTTTATTTTCTCTTATTACCGGCATGTTTGTAGTTAAGCACCACAATACAAAAGCAAATTCCTTTTATGTGAAAACTTACTTGGCAATGAAACTGATTCTGAATCTGATAGAAAAAACGGACTGTATTGGTGATATAAAATAGAAAGAGGTAAGAGATGTGCTTTTAAAAAAAATCAAGATGACCAACATAACTGCCAAAGACTTGCGTAGAATAATCTTAACAAAAGTTTGAGGAAAGTTATGAAAATTTAGGAGAGCGATGGAGGTGTAGTAGAGCAAAACAGAAAATAATACCAAGAAAAACTTGAAGGAAATTAGGGACTTTAAGTAAGTTTATCACACGCACACACGCGCGCGCACACCGTGATGTCATCTGAAGCGGAGGTTGGGACGGTCAGTCTGTTAGTTGGTCGACCGGACGGACACTGTAACAAACGGCTAACGTTAATTGAATCCCCGCTCTTTTAATCTGACTTTAAATGCGTTTAAATGAACCATGGCTCTTAAAGTGGACACAGTCTTATTTCTGGGCTGTGTAGGGGTGAGCAGAGGTTCAAACTTTTTCTAATTTAACCATGGAAACTGAAAGGAAGCGGACAGCAGCGACAACAGAAAAGAAGTCCGTTGACAAACCGCTCTGTAGCCCGGCAGATCACGGAGGAATGGACGCTGTTAAAACTGGCCCAAACCGGGACTGAATCTCATACCCGGGTCTTCCCGAGCTTCATGTCACCCTCCTCTCCGTGCCAGATGCCTCCGCGGGGCGATGGGGGCTACAAGCCTGCACCGGTATCCCCTGCTCCTCCTGTCCCACCGAGGAGGGTCCGCAGCCGGGAGAGGGGCTCCGGCAGGACGCGGCGGTCCGGGGCAGGAGCAGCGGAGAGGCGTGTGAAGTGTGTGCTGGTGGGAGACGGAGCTGTGGGGAAAACCAGCCTGGTGGTCAGCTACACCACCAACGGGTACCCCACAGAGTACATCCCGACCGCGTTTGACAACTTCTCAGGTAAAGGATCAATAAAGAAATTAATTCAGTTTCACTTTAGGACCAGATAGCTATAGAGAAATACTATAATGTACTAAAGTCCGGAATCAGAGCCCTAAACCTTTTCACCCCTAAAGTGAAATTAGACCATGGACCCCAATTTCATAAGATTTTGTCCCTGGATCTGATTGGATTTTGGCTTTCAGATTTTTTATTACATAAAGTGTATGAAACCCATGACCAATATATATATATAGGCCTATTTTTTAATTATGCCATTATTTGACCAGGCAAGTTAATTAAGAACAGATTCTTATTTACAATAAAGACCTGGCAAAATATTCATACCTTCTGTAACTGTGTCACTTATGGATGAAATTATAGTCAAAATAAATTATTCCCCTTTTTGCTGGGGAGCCCTGGGGATCTCCAGACCTCACTTTAAGAACAACTGCCCTAAGTTACTTGCTGCTAAAGACATTTGATTTGTTTATGACCTTATGGACCAGCTATCATTACATTTTTAAGTAATTGGTCCATCTTTCATTCTACAAAATGTCAAATAGCCTATAATGTGAGTTTTATAGTTTGTTTCATGTTACCAACACATAACCACTTTGAAGCTAGACTAGAAAATGTTTAATATTTTACTTTTAGTGTTCAGTTAGCCTATCAAATTGAATATATTATTATTCTGTAAATGATCAATCAATTCATTGACTAATCTTTACTGTATTAACTTTAATGTAGTTAAAGAGCTGGTGTTGTCAGATTATGTGGTTGTAAGAAAATAGTCGCCCCTATGTGTTTTTCAGTGAATAGCTACACTATGTCTCATGATGTGTGTTTGTTTGTTTAGCGGTGGTATCAGTGGATGGGCAGCCAGTCAAATTACAACTCTGTGACACAGCCGGACAGGTCAGTGATCTCAACACACATACACACACACACACACACACACACACACACAAAAAGGGAGGGAGAGAGCGCAGCAGCATTTCCTGTTGTTGTTTAATTTGCATTAGAGACAATGTCTCTGATGGAGGAAGTGATGAAGAAAAAACAATCCTCTTTTTCTTTCTTTCTTTCTTTCTTTCTTTCTTGTTTAGGTGGTGTACTGAAACATTTTTTTTCTTTATTTGATACGGACATGTTTTACAATGGATATCAGTTAAAATGAGTTCTCTGTCCAGGAAACTGTCTGGTCAGGCTTTCCTAGGAAAACAAATCTCTGCCACACAGGAAGTGATGACTTTTACATCTCTGTTTGCAGCAGCAGCTGCTTTTCGACTGGTTAGACGTGGAGCTAGTGCTTATCTTGAAACAAGTAATAAGTTACCTGTTACCTGTTTTTGTAAATACAAACAACTATTTAAACGCATCTGTACACATCATATAAACATTCAAAAAACTGTACTGTCAGGTGTGTACTGTACCCATACGTTTGGTGTGGAGGAATATAGGGACAGAATGAAGGGAAGGATCATGGGCAGGGAAGGACAGAGTGGGAAGTCAAGGAGAGACAGAAAGTTAGGGAGGAGAAACTAGATATATCCTCATAGTGAATCATCTGTCACTAAGAACAGATCACTCAGTAGCACCACTTGTGTTAGGACAGACTGGATTGGCAGGATGTAACACCTCTGTTTTTATCAAACATGCTTTCTGTAATCATCCTCATCTCTGTCCTGACGTCTCTCCCTTACCTCTCCAGGATGAGTTTGACAAGCTGCGGCCTCTGTGTTACACCAGTGCAGATGTGTTCCTGCTGTGCTTCAGTGTCGTCAGTCCCGCCTCCTTCCAGAATGTTCCTGAGAAGTGGGTCCCAGAGATCCGGAGACATGCCCCCTTCGCTCCGCTAGTCCTCGTTGGGACACAGTGTGACCTCCGAGAGGACGTCAAGGTGGAGGAAATGTATTCTGTGCAGCACATGCGTGAATCCCCATGTGTTCGATTCTTATTTTTGTTTCATCGTGTAAACACATTCAGTAGAGTTGCAGTAAATTAAAGGGATTTCTTCATGGCCCAAAGAAATACTATATAGTCAAAATTAAAGGCGCTGCACAAACACACACACTTTTTTAAAGTGATGAGAAACAGATAAAAACTTAATAAAGGCGGCAACACTTGATGGGAAGGAGGAACAAGCATCAACGTCCTCTTGTAGTGGCCTTATGCCACACAATACAACAAAACTACATGCATAAAATTGAGGCTACAGGTCTTCATGGTCTAAATGTTCATTTTACCAAAGTATCACATTACTTTGACAGAAGGCCCTTTTTCATTGCAGCTGTTTAGACAGGTGCTACTAATAACATTAACAATGGCTTTGTTGTATTCAGACATCAAAGTAAGCCATGATAGTTCAACATTAGTAATATAGCCTTTTAAAACAACATTTGTGTTACTAATATATTGTTTTGGCAGTTTTATGATCTTTAACCATGTATAATTAAGTATTTGACGCAGTATTAGGATTGAATTTGCTTTAAATAGACGGAAATTTCAGCTGATTAAAAGAAAACTTGCAGAAAATTTAAGATATTGGCAGCCCAAAACCAAATGCTCAAAAAGGTAAAGTTGTCACTGATGGATGAGAACACTGCAGGTGTATCCCTCCTGTCTCCTTGACTAAAGAATCAGAAACTCCAAATACAAGATCCACAAAGTGTATTAACTTACATGTTACCTTCTCTCTCTCTAGGTTCTTATTGACCTGGCAAAGTACCGGGAGCGACCTGTGGACCCAGCAGATGCCCGGGACTGTGCCATGGAGATTGGAGCTGTGGCCTACATGGAGTGCTCTTCCCTGACCCAAAAGAATTTGAAAGAAGTGTTTGACACGGCCATACTGGCCAGCCTGCAGAACTGCAGCTCCCATAAGCACCCGCGAGGAAAACAGAAACGACAGAAAAAGCAGAGGCAGACACCGGACAAGATGAAGAGCCTGTCCAAGTCATGGTGGAAGAGGTACTGCTGTGTGGCCTAGAGCCGAGCTGTGATGAGTTTTGGTCTTGATGTCTTAGACTCTGATGACTTTATCCTGGTCTGGATTCAACTGGGTTTGGGTTCTGTCTGGACTCGCTTTCAGTTTGGGTTTCTCTCTAATGGAGCCTGATGTTGAGCAGGACCTCGACTGGACTGTGGCTGGGAACCGAAGTAAGACTTTCACAGATCTGAAATGTTTTACTTTTTGTTTTTGTTCAGGGAGGGGTTTTAGTCTCATCGTGGATCAGATTTACTACTGAGCCCAGCCGGGTTCGAGCAGAACCTGCTCTGATGATGAAAGCAGCAGTATGAGCCCTCTGCAGGAGAAGGTAGTGCTGCCTCTCTTCAAATTAAACTAGTATGAACTAGGATTTTTTTCAGACTAGCAGAAGAACCTCTTAATGTCATGGTGGATGTGAAAATATTGGTTATGATGAGGCCGGTCCAGATTTGAAGAGTAGAAACTTTGATTTTCTTGTCTGTGTTTAACACATTAATCGGAGGTATTTAGTCTGGTTTTAAAAAACCCCAACCTCGTATAGATTTATGCAGCCTTATTATGTAGACTGAAAGGGAGCTTGACTCCCTGTAGACTGTAGTGAAGCACTCAGTCCTTTTTCTAACTTCTTTCTAACGTTAGCCTGGTTTCCAACACTCATGATTAGAAACCAAACTTCCTCTTTATTTACATATGAAAAGAAGAAGCCATTTTCGATTTTTCTGGTGCAGGCACGATCGCTCGACACGATTTAAGTCAGAACTTAGTCAACATATCCTGCACATGGTTGAATTGATCACTGTTGTTCTAGTAACAGAACTTGCTTTATTAAACAACTAATTATTTTATCCTGATCACATGCACAGTTTGTGTGCTGCAGCCTCTAAACCTAATCTAAAACCTGGATCATGGTTAACTTTATTTTAGTCTCGCTCTGAGCTATTTATGGAGTTAGGTCTGGCTTGGTTTTTAGTGTGGTTTTCTTCACGTCCTGCCACTGTTTGGCCCAGAAAGAAGCCAGACGTTTGGTGAGGCTTTTTTATTTGAAACAGAACTAATGCCAATGTCTTTTCTTGCCTTGATCAAAAATAACACCTTCATATTTTTTTGCCTCAGTGAGATTTCAATGATTGGAAAATTATTCCCACTACATATCTCAGTACAAGACTGTCTGCATATCCATGTGATAAAAGCACACAAAGCATTCTTGTTTAAAAGCAAGTTGTATCTTTACTGAAGAAAACACAACACCGTATGTGTAGAAGTCGGGTTTCCATTGGTAGCTGTGGTCATTTACTTTCCTCATTTATCCGACTTTAGTACTGAAGGACAGTCTGCGCTGTATTAATGTGGTTTGGTTAAACAAAACTCTTTGTACTGTGATGGTGGACTACAGGCTGGCTAGCACTTAAACTTCAGGCAGGAGGACATTTTGTAATTTTAGGGTTTTTCTCCTCTTCACCATGTTCACATTGTTGCACATGCCACAACTTTGCTCAGTATAGTCACCAGTGTCTAATGTAGAGGAGGCCCTTGTACACATGCAAAGAAAGGGTCTAAAACTGAAAATACCAGGATGTGAGACATTCATCCTGTCAACCAGTTGTAACTTGCATCAGTTACAAAGCAGGCAAATACTATATTGGTTATATTTGTACTATTAGTGTGAATTTGACTTACCTTTCCAGAGACCTGACTGGCCTTAAGTGTGAGCACTTAACAGAATTAGGTCAGCCAAGTGCTCTTTAAGTTTACCAAATGGACTCAGCTATTTGTTTGTGTTGGTTTGCAGCAAGAAAATAACTCAGAGCAAACTGAAAGACACAAAGATGGGTTTATTTCGTAGCTTCAATGTAATTGTCTATCTAAGACTGTGAAGTTTGAATTATGTCCATATTCAGTAAAAACATTTCTTAGTAGTTATGAACTATAGTTTGACTCATGTTTGTTGCTCTGCATTTGTTCCCTTTACCCAAAATATGATCTTCTACTTTACCATTCTGCATCCATTTTGCTTTGCTAATACTACAGAGTTATCCATTGTCCGTCATACGTCTACTGTATGCTCTGTTCGTTCTGCAGCTTGCTCTCTCCAATAGATTAAGTTTTGTATGTTGTAAAGCAGAAATTAAAAGGAAAACTAAAACACGTGTGTGGCCGTCAAACTCTCAACTGCCACACCTTCCTTTGTACATTGTAGTTACAAAAATGAACAAAACCCAATCATTTACAACTATTTCTCTACAGTTCCTGGATCTGAATGGCTCTTTGTAGTAGAGTCACTGCAGCAGAAAGGAAAAATGATGCAACCAGTTTGCAGTCTGTAATGGATCCAAAGCAGATCTGCCATTATTTGGCACATGTGCAATATATGAAATGGTTTTTCACTCTTACATTTCTTAGCCCTGGACCACTCTATACTATAAGTTGTCATGGCCAAGTTAACCTTTGTTGACTAACCCTCAGGTTATAAGACAGGGTTAAACTGTCAAGGTTCAGGGTTAACATCCATTAACTGTGACCGTCTCACAATAACCTTTCATGTGACAAATAATATATTCTGCTGCTGCTTTCCACACCAGTTATCTTAAAACTGTTTTTGTGATGGTATCCTGAAAAAGTCAATAATAATCCTGCTCTGCTTTCTGAGTGTGAAATAGCTTTTAGTTTACAGCTCACAAAGCTGTAAACTAAAAGGTGTCTTAGCTGAGGGTTAAGTGTAGAGTGAAAACCCTGTTCATTGTGCATAAATGAAGCAGTTTTTCTGGTGTCTGGTTCGAAGTACTTTCTCTACTGTGTGTGAAATGGAGTGAGCTGTGGTTTGCCTTGAAATTCACTTTATCTTGAACTGTACTGTAAAGATACCATGATAGTTACAAGACATACATTTATTGTAACATTTATGTTTTTTTCTAACAAACTTCTATAAAAAATGTAAAATCTAAACAAAATGTTCACAGTTCATGTTTTCTGTTTAGTCAAACACAAACGAAGACAAGACTGCCAGAACTTCGTACAATCAGAGGATTTGTACAATTGGACTTCTGTGGAATATTTTCACCCAATTAGTAAACGACTCTCTTTTAAACCTTTCTATTAGGCACTACTAAGCATCACAAGACACTGAACACAACTACAGCTTGATATGGGAACCAAACATTGACTTCTTGCCAAACTTTACTGGAAAATGTGCTTGTTTAACCCAAAACTAACCTGCTGATTATTTTGCTACAAGTTGCATACTACTGTAATACATGTAGTATCATTCTCTTTGAGGAATCTGAGGACTTGTATCTCAACTCGAAATGTTTGGTCATGTTGGGTTCAGGCCTGTGTGTTACACAGTGGCTCCTGATTTTAAGATTACTGGAGATAGTTTTCTGCCGAAGATGTTACGACTAAGACTGAATGGGTTCACTGTGCTGATGTTTTACTCAGCAAATGCATTGTATCTTGCTGGGGAAAGGGCATAAAAAGTTGCTTGTCTTGCTGTTTGTGTGCCGTCTTGGCTGATGGTGGATTTAAGTAGGTTAAAGGTCACGCAGACCCTTATGATAGCTGGCATTTCCCTTGTCTGGTCACGTACGTTTATGGAGAGCATAGTATGTTTTCCATCACAGGGGTTTTGTTTGCATGCAGAGTGTGATCAATCAATCATGCATAAACAATATCTTGCATGTTTCTGACAAGGATTTAAGGATGACACCGTCTTTATCCAGCCTATAACACCTGCTACATTTAACTTGTGTTATAATCCTTTAAAGTGAGTCCATGTAACTTTTCCTGAACAGCGTCCACTTTGGTGGATAATGTTATGTGCTAAAACATAGTTTAACAGTAACACAGGTGACAAAGTAACCACAAAGTCAGCTGAATCAGTAATGTTTGGTATATAGCAAGTTAGCAAACTTGCAAAGTCAGCAAAAGCTAGCGGTCTTGCCAGACCAAGTAATGCTGCAGCAGTAAATCTTCACGGTGTATTAATGCTCATAAATTCAACCTTTAATGGTTGAAAAAGACTAAGATTGTGTTATTTCTTACATGGCTTACGTGGTCTGGCTTGAATGTTATAAACTGGTTTTCAGGAGCCGGACAAGGCGGTCGGTCCACAGCAGTATATGTCCTGTATAACAGATGAATGGCTTTGTAATGTCGAACAGATGGATCTCTGAAAGTGAATTATTGTGTATAAAGATGGCCAGAGATGAGACATGATGGCGAATTGTGCTGCAGAGTCTGTGTTTTTTGTTGAAGGTTTGACAGAAGTGTTAATCCTCTGGGCAGGTGGTTTGAAAGACACAGTCGCAGCAATGGCTGACTCTAGTCATTGTGAGTAATTTGGTGTCCAAATTGAACAAAAGTGAATAAAAGACAGTTGCACTGCTAGTTATCTGTGCCGATGATTCTGCTAAATGAGTGACTCAAGTACAACACGTCAGTAAGCAAGTGTTTAGTGTTATTGGGTGTAAAGATATACAACAATCATCAAAACCAGTCTGAGTCAGGATACAAACTGAAACTGTCTCTGTATGTGAGACTGATTACTGTAAGCAAATCAGTTTTTATTAGACTTTACATGACACTGAAATACCCACAGGTTTTGGTGTTGATAGCACAAGAATATCTCATAAAGTTCAGTGAGTTTAAACAAAAGCAGACAGTCTGGGGAAACGGACAGACATGTTTCATTCTTGAGATTTAATTGTTTTATTGAGGTTAAAACCCCCTAAAGTACACCTGAGCTCACTCACATGGGACACCAGCTGAGAACTTCTCTTAGGAAAACCAACCCACTCAGCCTGAGCGAAACATCACTTTGTTTTCATTTTTCCTGCATGTAAAAACATTGTAACAAAGCGCATGCTGCTTCAATCTGCTCACGCTGAATTCTCTGTATCAGTGTATGTGTTTGTACAGAAGTTTTATACACTGAGAAATAAAGAATATTTGGCATAATACATGCTGTGTTTTGTTGATCTTGAAGCTCGCTGCTCAGTGGTGGGACTAGGAATGTGTGTGTGTTTAAATATAACTCCTTGACATATGCAACTTCGCACCTTGGCTGTGTTGTGAGAGCCCGCAGGCTGAAAAGGAGAATATGTTTTTTTTGTTTGTTTATAGGTTCACATATGTATATAAAGTTTGTCTGTATCATATTTGGATATTTTCTGTGAAATTGACCAGAAGGAGACTTAGGATGGTCAGCAGCATGACGCAGATAAAACATGTCCTCAGTGCTTGCTTTCTGAACATGTTTTTTCATGTTGTTATGTCTGAGGTAATGCTTTGCAATTGGACAGTGCGCTTTGTGATAAGTGCCACGACCATGCCGTACTCGGCTGATGCACATCAGGAGAGAGCAGATAAGATATGAGCAATTTTTGGGGGCATGGAGACACACACACTCACACAGGCGGCCACAGAAAGTCATCCAACTTCAGACTGGATCATTGTAAACAGACTCTCTGTTTCCAGGCCCTCGTGGTTATGCAAGAGCTTTATTTTGAAGGCTGTCATGTGACATTTGGTTAGTGGCAGGTCTCTGTTCTTGGATGCAGTGTGAAGGGGGGGGGGCATGCCCTGACTTAACTCTGTCTGGGGAACAAACTGCTTCGCTCTACCTGACAACACAGAGTGCGTAAGTAATGAGAAAGCCAACTTTGTTCTGGTTTGATCAGAGGCTCTGTGACTTAAACAGTGCCAGGTCCCATTTACTGATATTATTCTGTTGTTCCTCCACAAGTGGGATGATGATAAGTGATACAAATTGCAGCTTATTTTCCAAAATACAATAATCATGAATTTGAATGTGCTCGGGAAGTAACACCAGAAAGACTTTAAATGGCTTGCAACTATTTTTCTATGGTCTTGGTGTTCAATCAGCAGATTTTTGATTTTGATTTGATGCTTTTTATTTACGCTTTAAACCTTACAAGGCCTGTAACAAATGATTAAATATTCAGTCAAAATGTAATAAAACGTCTTCCATATGTGGATTGTAAATCTAATCCTATTAATGAACCATGTAATAACACCTCACAAACACTTTGAAACTGAGCAGATGTTGATACAATGAACCACACCACTGCTGAAAGCAGTAAACTGTAACTAAACACACACACAGCACCGGTATGAAAGTTGAAATGTAGTTTTCTGGAGCTGCTGCCTACATCATCATGTGAATCAGAACCTAAAATCTTTGAGGTTTTGGTTCAAAATGGTTTTCAGCTCATTTAATGTGTTTTCACCATCGTGTTGACAAAGTTTTGTACTAGTTTAGAATGACTTATGTGGCCACATCCTGTGTTTGGCTGTCGATCAGTTGCTGTAAGTCATTTCCAGATTACTCTTAACAGATTAACTCTGGGAAAAAAGTGACTCCAATACAGTTTAAAACCACTGGATAATCAAATAATGAGCAGAAATATTTAATTATCCAGCGATTTATAATGCTGCATGGTTTTAGTAGTTTAACCTTTACTCAGTTGGACAGGTGTTTTATCATTATGCTTTATTATTATTATTAATTCGCACATGGAGAAACAAGGAAAGATTCAGAGGGACATAACCTTGGAGAAAACGTAATACAGTATATTTACATTTAGCTTCTTATTGCGAAATATTACAGTCACATGTGCACACAAAACACAAAAGGATAAGCTGCCAATAGTCAAGGCTCATTTTATAGCCTCTTTCTTTCAGAGTGTGTGTGTTTGTTTGTGTGTTTCAGTGTGTGTGTGTGTGTGTGTGTGTGTGTGTTACATAACACAAAGAGGGGCCAGAGTGACATCAGTGCTGACTCTTAACAAGCGGAGTTGAAATACAATCTCCACTTTCCTAACAAGCTATAAACCCAATCAATGTGTGTGTAGACAGCTGCTTTGTGTGTGTGTGTGTGTGTGTGTGTGTGTGTGTACTTGGACTTCCTTCATAGTGAGGACCAGAACAAGATTAAACCAACAGACTGGGGACATTTTTCGAGAGTGAGGACATTTTAGCCTGTCCTCACAACTTCAAAGGGCTGTATGAAGGTTAAGGGTTGGGGTAGCATTAGATTTAGGTTAGGAGGAGGGGAAAGGTTAGGGATTTAAGCATTTAGTTCTGATGGTTAAGGTTAAGGTAAGGGGCCAGGGAATGCATTATGTCAATGAGGGTCCTCAAAAGTATAGAAGTACAAGGATGTGAGTGTGAGAGACAGCGAAGAAGGGACCGTTAGAAGGGACAGACAGACACACTAACAGATAAACTATCGTACAGAGACTGACAAGAGAAACAAAACTCCACAGAAGATTACGGCATTTGAAGTAAATGTTCTGGAGTTTTAGATGCAGCAGTTTGATCCACAGATATTCAACCTTTAACATCAGTGAAATGGTAAACATTGTTCTTTAGATTCACTTACATTCAGTATCTTACCCTTAACATCAACCACAACCACTATATGCCTAACTCCAACCTTTACCCTAACCCAGGAGTGGAGCCAACAAGTGGCCCCATTGGCCACCACACACAACACTGTCTTTTGGGACACCTTTATTTCATGTGTGAAACCGTGTCTGTCCTTTTGACAAGTTTAAGTGGCGACACAGGGATAATGCACCTGTGTAATGCCATTATGGCAATGTCTCCTGATAATTAGGTTTCTTTGTACTAAATTGTTTTCCTATCTACGTTGTGTTGGCAAACATGGCTGCCCCAGATTTTGTTCAGAGGAAATATTATTTTAGTTAATGAAGCGCTTACTTATAAAATGAGTGAATTCCATTTAGCTGCCTCAGGTCCTAGTGTTTGCATGATGCTTCAATGTCACACTGATTTACTGTTTCCTCTGCTTATGAGCTTGGTGCTAATTTAGGAATATCTGCTGCCTGAAGAAGTGTACAAAAAATAGTGACTATTTGTCCCAGGGCACCACACAGATGATGATTTCTGTGCCACCTAAAGTCAAAACTCTCAAACTGACTCAATTGCTCTGCCACTGCTCAAACCTTAATTCTTAATCTCTGATTTACTCACTCTACAAAGGACCTGAGTTTTGGCCCCTCAGTGTGGTTAAGACAAGTTCACGTACAGACACAGCTAACTATACAGACTGACACACACTGCTGGAATCTTTAGTGAGCGAGTGAAACTGCTGCTGAGCGTGCTTTATGTCTGTCCATTCATTGCTCTCATACAAACACACTTTTTTCTCTTTTTCCTTCCTTTCCTATCACTCTTTTTCTGTATTTTCCTGTCAAATACACTCTCCCTCTCTTTCTCTGTCCCCCATCTTCCATCACCACTCACCACACCACCTCTTCCTCTCTGTTTCTTGCTCTACATCTCTACAGGTTGTCTATTTGAATAAGCTGGTGACAACATCTGTGTGTGTGTGTGTGCTGTGTTTTTGATTGCATGTGTGTTCAAAGTTCACAGAGAGTGTGTCAGGTGGCATTTACACAGTTGAGAAACAGTGCGGCACATACAGTTTACACCCCCCACAGCTCCCCCCCACTCTCTTTCCACATATGTCTCTCAGGTGGACTGCTAACTACAGATGACTACTGCGTTTACATAAGCACATTACAGCAGGCACAACACCACATACATGACGGTTAAGGTCAGGGTTTACCACATTTTCACTCCTGACCACATCCCTGCACGTGTGAATTAACACGATATGTCAAATGTCTCTGTGGAGTATGTGCTAAGCAGAGTAAGGTATGATATTTATAACTTTTCTCAGACAATATGGACAGTTCCCAGCAGCTTATTCTTACAATAAGTGAAACAATACCACACAGAAAACATGTACAAAAAACAATCTTACCACCTAAATCAGTTTGAGGCCTCTACCACAGTAATTTCAAGCACTTTTTCAAGAATAGCAGTGGTCGCAACCTTGCACAGAACTAGCATGGAAAGTACGTTTATGTCATAGAAAGCATATAATAACATTTGATAAACCTGCAAACACACACAGGTGTCTTCACTTACTCAGGCTGTGGGCAGAGATGGGAATTATGAGAGGCCACTGGATTTTGGGTACCAATAACAATGGAAAAGGCGTGATTTGTACCGTGAACAATGAGAAGACCTGTTGGAACGGCAGTGAGGACATCGTCAGTTGAAACGTTTGTCTAAGTAAGCTAACCTGAGTCGGAGCGACGAGTTAGCAGAAGTACTGAGGCCTGCCACATGAAGAAGCCACAGCATCTCAGCTCTGCTACACGTCTACACTGCGCTGAGATTTCATGTTAATGGTATTTTTTTTATTGTTACACTCTTTGCTGAATCTTCCCACTAAAAGGCAAATATTTTCTGCTGGAGTGAACAGAGCTGAGTGATTTGATGCTGTTGCCTCGGTCGGCCATGTTTTTTAGATCGGACAAAGTACCCAGAATTAATGGAAAATTAGCCAATGCTTAGGGTGGCCCAGAACTAGACGGCTTTGTGCAAGGGCTACAGTTACAGACCTTTTTCACAGTAGATATAGCAGGGAAAACACAGGTGTAACTAATAACATTAACGATTGCTCCGGTCAGTTAAGTGTCCCAGTGGGCCACGACAGTGAGTCTGCATGTGCACTAGCAGGAACCTGGAATTGGCTCACCTGCATGAAATACAGCCATCATTAAAATGATTAATTACACCTGTGCTTTTGCTACCATGACTTGTGAAAATGTCTACAGTAAAAAAGTTCTATTGACCGGTCAGTTTTAATGACTAAGGTGAGTAATGAGAGACGAAGTATGTGAATTTTAATCCACAGACACTGGCTTTTTAAGTGAAGGCTGGTTGTAGTCAATGCCTTGTTTGATTGTTCTGGAAGTGACGAAGCCCAAGGTCACAATAATCTGTGTTATAGCTGTATAAACTATATTATATCTTATATTCTGTATGATATTGCTGTACTATTATTACTACGACAGTTCACCTTATATCATATTTTATATTGCATACCACATCATACTCC